TTTTTTCCCACATACACTCCAACATTTTTAATTTTCTTTTTCTGTCATATCAGCAAATTTCATTCATAGATATGATATCTCAAAGGGTTTTTTTAATATTATTTTTTCCAATTATATATAAAGACAATTTTTAGCATTCATTTTTACAAGATTTTGAGTTCCAAATTTTTCTTCCTCCCTTCCTCCCCTCTTTTCTTCCTAAAATGGTAAGAAATTTGATATAGATTAGATATGTGCAATCATGTCAAACATTTCCACATTTGTCACAGTTGTGAAAGAAGAAATAGACCTAAAGAAAAAAAAACACACAAATATATAGTGAGTGAAAATAGTATGCTTTGATCTGAATTTGGAGTCCATCAGTTCTTTATTTGGATATGGGTAGCATTTTCCATCATGAGTCATTTGTAGTTGTCTTGTATCATTGTATTGCTGAGAAGAGCCAAGACATTCATAGTTGATCATCACACAGTGTTGATGTTACTGTGTAAAATGTTTCCCTGATTCTGCTCATCTCACTTTGCATCAGTTCATACAAGTCTGCAACTCATAAATTTTGTTTGTTGTCTCATTGTTGCCATTCTCTTTAATTAAATTATTGTTTCTAATGATTTGTTCTGCCCACGTGGTGTACATGTACTGTAATCTACCTATTTGCCTGAGGCTACACTGAGACACATGATGAGTCCTAGGGGTGGCATCTCCCTGTTCCCCTGGGTTGTAGGGAGAAAGGTTCCTGATGCTAGTATCTTCCCATTTATTTGGGCACATCCAGGGTTTGGGCATTGGCACCTGCTAGGGTGCTGAGGTATGTGGGTTGGTCTGCATGCTTGAGTCTGCCCATTGTCTGGTTATGATGAGACACACTGGGGGTCTCAGTGTTGATGTTTTTCTGCTCTGCTGCACGGGGGCTCAGGACCTCCCACTGACTTGTGGAGGTGAAATTTGCTGCTATCTTGCCTGGATGCTTCCTGTCCTAGACTGAGTTCCCTTTTTACTTGAATAAGACAGATCTGTTCTGCCAACCTTCCAAGTTTTTTGGACTAGAAGAATGTTTCACCCCATCTTTTTGCTGGTTCTGCTGTTCCAGGATTCATTTAGGGATGCTATCTAATGGTCATTTGGAGGTGAATATGGGACAATTGAGGCAATTTCAAGCTTCCTCTTCCATCTTGGCTCCTGGAAGTCTCCAAGTTGTTTTACTTTGCATTTCTGTAAGCAATAATGATTTAGAGCATTTTTTCATATGTGTATATATAGCTTTGATTTCCTCATCCCAAACTGTTCATATCCCTTGACCATGTTTCAATTAAGGAATTACTCATATTCTTATAAATTTGACAAAGTTCATATCTGAGATATGAAATCTTTATCTGAGGAACTATAAAATTCCCTCCCAATTTTCTGCTTTCCTTCTAATCTTCACTCCATTAGTTTTACTTGTACAAAACTTTTTAATTTAATGTAACCAAAATTACCCATTTTACGCTCACAATGCTCTCTATCTCTTGTTTATTCATAAATTCTTCTCCTGTCAATATTTGACTAGTAATATATTCTGTCTGCTTCTAATTTATTTTTGATATCACCTTTTATGTCTAGGTCATATATCCATTTTGACTTTATCAGGAACTACGTGAACATGATTATAAGATATTTTATGCAAATGAAGTTCAATGTAAATAATTAGAGAAATATTCATTGTTTATGGGTGGGCAGAGCCTATATAATAAAAATGATAATTTTACCTAAACTAATCTATTTACTCAATGCCATCCCAATTAAATTAACAAAAAATTATGTTATTGGGCTAGAATAAAAATAACAAAATTCATTTGGAAGAACAAAAGGCCAAGAACATGAAAGGAATTAATGAAAACATATATAGGAAAGAAGTCTAACAGTACCAGATCCTAAGATGTATTGTAATTTGTTGATTAATAAAACTATCTGGTACTGGCTAAGATATAGAAAAGTGGATCAATGGAACAGAATAGACATAAAATATGCAGTAGTAAATAATTGTAGTAACTGGCTGTTTGACAAATGTAAAGATTTGAGCTTTTGGGATAAGAATTCACTATATGGCAAACAATTATTGGGAAAACTGGAAAGTAGTCTAGTAGAAACTAGATGTAGACCAATATTTACACCATTTAACAAGCTATGGTCAAAATGGATACAATGATCTCTCATTTGCCCAATCTCATGGTGGTTTTTCAATATTCATTCTTCTCAACCTCTCTGTAGCTTTGACTATTGACCATCCTCTTTTCCTTTATATTCTTCTCTCTCTAGAATTTTGTGACATTGCCATCTCCTTGTTCTCCTCCTATCTGGTGGACTGCTTTTTCAGTCTCCTTTGCTAAATCTTCATCCAGGTCTTGTCTGCTGCAATGGGTTTCTCCAAAGTCTCTCTCCTAGACCCTCTTCTCCTCTCTCTCTATGCTATTTTACATGGTGAACTCATCAGCATACATGGATTCAATCACCATTTCTTTGCTGATGATTCTCTACTTATCTGGTCCTAACCTCAGGGATTTCTGTAACCAAAGCCAAATGTCAAAGTGACAAGTCCTTTCAAGCATTGAGCTAAAGCCCCAAAGTGAAACTCTCACCTCCTTTTTCCCTGAAGTCCCCAGGAGTATGCAGGGAACACACTGTACAAACACTCCCCAGCATGTCCCCTATGTATCTGTACACGGGTATTATCCCCATTTGATTTATTAGGAAACATAGTCAGAAACTATGTAACTTGCAAACTATTATTTCTTCTAAATTTTTACTTTCTACTATAAACATACCACAGTAAATTCATTCTTGTATAGAAGTATGTGGAGACAGATGTAGGGAAAGAAAGAAGTGTACTAAAAGAGGATGGTAGAGCATAGAAGGAAAGAAATGGTGTCTAGTAACTGCCCTCATGACACTTCCAATACAAAAGAAAGAGTTTTACTTTGACATAGTCTGACTGAGTCAGTCCCAATATACAAGCACCTGTGTCTATATGTCTACCCAAACAACCTGTACAATCACTTAAATATAATTTTAATAACTTATTAGTTCATGAAAAATAGTCCAAATGTTTGTGATGGTAGATGAAATAATAACCTATTTTCCTTGGTTGGAAATTCCTTAAAGGCAAGGAATAGACATAATTTTCTGCCTCTAAATAGTTGTAATTCACTTTTCATATCATTCTAAGGTTTACAAAGAATTTTCCATTAAAAAAAGAGCTATGATATAGGTGATATGGGTTTCCATTTTTAAAAAAAAGTATTCTCATTTAAAATGAGGAAATTGGGACTCACCACTGTACCCAATTGTTACAGATAATGGGTTACATGGCAGAATTAGGAGTCAAATACAAATCCTTTTATTTCAAATGTAGAGTTCTTTGTACATATATAGGACTTCTATGGTAGGTGTTTAGTAACATTTATTGAATTTAATTTATCTCTCACACAGATACCCACAGTGGTGGGGGTGATGAGGGAGGGGATATTGGCATTAAAGGAACTAACACATGTACGTATATGTGTATGTGTATATACACACACACAAACTTATGTGTGTATATGGGTATACACACACACAAACACTTATGTGTGTATGTGTGTATATATCAGTAGAGAGATATTCAACTTGAAGTCAAGAAGACCTGAATTAAAACCCAGTCCCATACATGTAATAGCAGCGTGATCTTGGGCAAAGCATTTAACTTTCGTTAGCATCAATCTGTAAAATTGGAATAATAATAGGACTTACTTCCTATGTTATTATAAGGATAAAATGAAATAGTATTTTTCATGTGCTTTGCAGACCTTAATGCATTATCTAAATTTTTAGATGTTCCTTCAGTTCCTAGCACAATATTTTGTACATTAAGAATATTTACAGAATTGAATCTGTGATAAATGTTAGGAAAGACTATATCTAAATACAGATGAAGGCTCACATGAAGTCACAGACAAAAGATCAAATCAGTTAAGTATGAATTGTTTTGGAAGTGGGGCATTATTTAACAAGAATCAATACAAAAGTAATAATAGCAAATGCAGCTAACATTAACATAAAACATTTAGGGTTGCAAAAAACTTTATGAATATTATCTAATTTGATCCTCCCAACAACCCCAGAAAGTGCTCTTATTATCCCCATTTTATATATGAGGAAACTGAGTCAAAGCAGAGGGCAAGTGATTTGCTCAGGATCACAAGTTAGTAAGTCTTTGGGCAGGATTCCAAGTGCTCCTATTACTGCTTCTAAGAAGTTTTTTGCTATCTGCTCTGTAATTGAGTTTTCATTAAGCAATTTTATATGACAACACTACCCATGGAAACAGTTTTTTTTTTTACCCCAATAACACCTTCACCACCATCATCATTACCACAACAACACATTAATTTCTTCTAAGAACTTAATAATAACAAAGTTCACATACTACAAGATTAGGAACTGACTAAATCTGACTAAATTTTGTAGATCTCAAAAAAAAAAAGACTGCTTTGAAAAGTCAGTAAGTGAGCCAAGTAGTCTACACATTATCCAACTACACTTATTAAACAGAATTTACCAAGTTGATAAACCAGATTTGTCAGCACCACAGAGACAAAAATCTCAGTATGATTCATTATGATGTATAGGAGAGAATCTCCTTGTTTATAGAGCTGTGGAAGGATAATATATTTTTGTTCCTTGGAAAGATAAAATATGATCCTACATGAGAAGATAAATGACATGACCTTTTTATGAAAAACATATTTTTTATTATAAATTTGATAAATATAAATAAACATAAACATTTCAAAATACAAAGAATAGAATGAGCATCATATATGAAAATTTAAACTATTTTGTATAGTTTGTTTTTTTAAAATATCTATTAAATTTAACATGATAGTAATAAAACTGTCTTATTTCTCTGTGGAGATGGTTTTTAAGGTTCGCTTTGGCTCTAAGGTTTCCATGCTTCTCTGATGCTTGATCATATGTTTCTCTTAGTTTGGATCTTTTCTTAGAAGCCTTTTCAATGCACCCTTCATATCTTTGTTCCTCAAAGTATAAATGAGGGGATTGAGGGTAAGCGTCACCACAGTATATAAGAGAGTGATGAACTTGCCTTGCCTGTGAGCATAGGAACTATTGGGTTGAATGTAGACAGCTGTGATGGTGCCATAGAAGAGGGTGACCAAAATATGGGATCCACAGGTTCTCAGAGCCTTTTGCCAAGCTTGGGCTGACCTGATTTTCATCACTGCCTGGGCAATGAGTGCATAGGAGATCAAGATCAATCCCAGGGGGAGAAAAAGCAAGACTAAAGAGGCCATAAAAAGCTGAATTTCATTGGCATGAATGTCCACACATGCCAAGTTTATCATGGCAGGTACTTCACACATAAATTGGTAGAGCTTCCTATGCCCACATAGAGGTAGATTAAGGGTGATAGTGCTCTGTATAAGTGTATTACCCAAGCCACTTACCCATGCCATCCCTACAAGGGCCCAACATAGCCTTGGATGAATGACAGTAGCATAGTGGAGTGGTCTGCAGATAGCAGCATAGCGATCAAATTCCATGACAGCCAGGAGAACACATTCAGTGGAGCCCAGTGCCAAAGAGACATATAGTTGGATGGCACAACCTGTGGGAGTTATGGTCTTCATTGGTCCCCTTAGTTTCCATAGGAGCTGGGGAACAATGCTTGTGGTAAAGCAAAGATCAATGAGGGAGAGGTTGGTGAGGAAGTAATACATTGGAGTATGGAGTTTGGGATCCAGGCAGGAAACCAGGATGATGGCTGTATTGCCAACTAGTGTCAGGATGTAGGAAATCAAGACAACCACAAAGAGGATCTTCTCCAACTGGGGCTGTTCAGAAAAACCAACCAGGATAAAGTCACCTCCTTTGCTGACATTAGTCATCTCCATCATTTTGAGGGTCAAGAGAAAACAAATAGAGATGAAAAGTAGAGAATGTGGCATCGATCATTTGTAAAAACAAACAAATAAATAAATAACTTTGAAGGATAATTATCAGAACATTTAACTTGAGAGAGATCTGGGGAACACCCCTGGGAGAAAATTCAAAGACTCCATCACCCTTCAAGAGAATAAATAGAAGGAAGAGATCTACCATGGAGAGCAGTAATGAATCAACTCTAAATTCCTCATCTTTTTCCCACCTCAAAAAAGCTTTTTTTCCCCTTGTTTCTCAGTAACTCCTTAATACATTAACATGAAAAGAGAGTAAACATGACTAGCAAAACCTTTGGATGGCTCATTGGAAGCTTCTGGATTCATTAAGAGAAATAATTTTATAATTAGTTTTAATCACAGATCAGAGAATGTTAATTCTCTTTACCTGTGTAATGTCAAATATCTCTTTTTTTTATTTTCCCAAGATGTTTTAGAAATCTTTGTTTCATGATTGCTAAAATATCTGTAACATAGGAGAAAAATTCTCCCAGTATGAACGTCAAAATTAACCAACATTTCTTGACAGATGTAACAGCAAAAGTAGAAATTTTGATAACCCTCTTTCTGATCATTAATATCAGGCAAGCCATAGAAAAGAAACAACTATTCCTGCCCAAAGAGATCCAACATGAAGTCCAAAGTCCCTATAAATGATGAGTTTTTCCTCTTTCAGATAACATTGTGCTGGTTGCATCAACTTCAGAATGTTACAAAGTCTATTGTATGAAGTCCATAATCATTAAAATAAAAAGTGTTTGAACTAAACATCCACATGGGAAATATAAAGTGGATAGAAAATGTATATTGTCAACAGCACAGCAAACAATTACTTGGGTGATCTATAGAATTTCTAACCTCTTCTCCTTCTAAGTCTTTTCAGACAAATCTCCCCCCCTCAATTCAACTAAATTTCACTCCACAACCCTGTATAAAGAAACCCTGAATGTGCTGACTTCAAACAAATATTAATACTTTCTGTTAAAGGGAAGTGAAGGAAAACTGGTTATGAAAGGAGTGCAGGTTGGAGGAAAACAGGTGAGGTCAGGAAATTTCAGTATATCTATATATGATATAAAAGTATATGTTGCATACATTATATATGTTGTACATGTATACATATTTCCATTAGGAAAATTAACATATCATACAATCATAGAATTTCAGAGCAACCTGTAACCTCATTAGCCAGCTAGTCCAACCTAGTTCAAAATATCTGATAAGCAGTTGTCCAGTATTACTATGAGGGTTTCTAGTGATAGGGAAGCCACTGCCTCCTCAAGAAAGGTTTTCCCTACTTTTAGATAGTTAAAATTATGAAGAAGTTGTTTGTTTTTGCTGACATTTAAGCCTAAATTTGCACCTTTGTTAGTTCAATGCTCTACTCTTGGATTTGCCATCTCTGGACAAATAGAACAAGTCTAATCCCTTTCCCATGTTACAGTCTTTCAAGTACTAGTTTTGGGCTAGCACGTCCCTGCTGAGTCACCTCCTCTCAGAGCTAGTTCCTAGTTCCTTCAACCATTCCTTATGTGTCATAGACTCAAAGACATTAACAATTCTGGTTGCCCTTCTCTGGACATTCTCCAGATTATCAAAATGTCTTTTCTTGAATGGAGTGCCCAGAACTGAACATAATACTCCAAATGTTGTCTGATCAGGGAAGAACATACTCAGACTAACAATTCCTTATTCTTGGAAGTTATGCCTATCAATATAGCCCAAGACCACATTAGCTTTTTTGGCTGCCATATCACACTGTTGACTCATTTTGAGCTTGTGCACTACCTAAACACCCAGACTTTTTTTAGATGAATTATTGCATAGAAACATTTTTCCCATTATATAATTGTGAAATATATTTCCTGAGCCCAAGTACATTATGTTACATATACCCCCTTTTAAATATGATCATATTTGATCAGCTCTGTAGTCTAGCCTGTTGGAATCTTTTTGAATCATAGTATGTCACCCTTAATCACTTCTCCTGGCTTTGTATCATCCAGGAATTCAGCAAGTATGTGATCTTGAAATTAAAATTTTTGATAAAAATGTTAAATAGTACAGGCCCAAGTACAGATTCTTCACTCAATCCATGTGAAACCTCATTCCAAACTGTAATGTAATCATCAGTGGTGACTAGATGATTCTGGCCTTTTAACTAGTTCTGGATCCACATTATTGTAACTATCAATTAAATCCACATCTTTCCATTTTCCTGTAAGAATTGTTGTTTGTGTGCATGTATGCGTGTATGCACGTATGCATGTACATATATATATTCCCTTCCTTAAAGTCCCACTCACATGTTTCATGATAGTAAAATTGTGATACTGGGTTCTTTATTACTATGCTAGAAAGTCCCAGGTCCTACTAAGCTTCGACTGTGAGCCCAGTGTCAGACTGTGTGTGTCTTTCCAAAGATGAACAAAGGTAATTTCTGAAAGCTCACTGTAATAAGGATGGTCACCAGATGAAAATTTTTTTTTCCCTCTTAGGTTGTTGTTGTTTCTGCTGCTGCTGCTGCTGCTGTTGTTCTTGTTGTTGTTTTTGGCCATCAAAACTTAATATATCCATTTAGGTATGAATGGTCTCTGTTGGTGGATGAAGGATCCACACTAATGGAATTACAGATATTCAATGATCATGTTATATTTGTATACATATGTAATTATATAATATATGTTCATGTACATGTATTTAGGATTCTGTTACATTGCAGATATGCATTCATAGGCATGCATGTACAGAGATAGATAGGTAGATAGGTATCAATATATCACAAAATCATAGACAAAAGCAATCCAGTGTAATCTATACTTGAGTAGAAATATCCTTTAAAAATCTCTGACATATCATAATTTCACCTCCATTTGGAGAACTTTTTGGTGATAGAAAACACAGTGTATTGTTACACTTTGGAATCTGCTATCATTAAGAAATATTCATTTTTAACAAATTGTAATTGGTGTTCCTGAAAAGTTTACCCATTGCATCCAACCCTGTCCCCTGGGATCAAGTTTTTTTTTTTTTAAAGTCTTATTCTTCTTTCATATTTTAGTCCTTCAGATATTTGGATTCAATAATCATTCCTACCATCCATCCTTGCCTCTTCTCCAGCTACTTTCATAATCTTCAGACATAGTTTCCATTACTACCATCAACACACATGGTGTCACTAAGATATATTCCCTCTTATAAATATATTTCCTCAAAGTCAGCACCTGGAATTCTCTTTCGCTATCTGCATAGCTAGCTATATGCAGCTAACAAAGAAAAAGATGCCTCCAGAGTGCAACCTGATCACAGCAAACCAAACTAGATTGTCACACTAATCGCAACTGTCCCAAGTCTAGTCATTCTGATGAACACATGCATACTGTTTCCTAACACCTCCCCTTTCTTCTAGACAAAAATATTTAATAATTACTCAAAAAATAATTATTAATTACTAATCAAATTACTTAGTTATTAATTATTAATTACTAATAAAAGTAATTTATAATTACTTGGTTATTATCAATTACTAATAAAAGTAATTTATAATTACTTAGTTATTAATTAATTATTAATTACAAATAGTCCCAAAAAGATTAAGGGCCAGATCTTGTAACAACCATGTTAATGACTACCACCAATCAATAATAATCTGGATAATTTTTAAAAAACATTTGTGGGGGCAGCTAGGTGGCACAGTGGATAGAGCACCGGCCCTGAAGTGAGGAGGACTTGAGTTCAAATTCGGCCTCAGACCAAACACTTGACACTTACTAGCTATGTGACCCTGGGCAAGTCACTTAACCCCAATTGCCTAAAAGCTAAAAAAAAAAACCATTTGTGGACAACTGTTTGTCCATGGTATCTCTCTTGCACAGTTGTCTGCCATCCCTTGGAATCTTAAGCATATGTCACTAATTTCTAGCCACTTTGAAATGCATCCCTTACTCTTATCTAAACAAATAATAGAGGTAATCACAGAATATAAATTCGATCATTTTGATTACTTGATATTGAAAAACTTTTGCAAACAAATATAACTAGGATGAGAAAGTCTGGGGTGGGGATCTCAAATCAAATATCTCTGATAAGCTAATGACAGTCTAGATATGTAGGGAGCCAATACAAATATATAAGTATATATTGAGTCCTTCTTCAATGAATAAGAGATCAAAGGATAAAAACAGACACTTCTCAAAAAATGTAAGCTATTAACAACAAATGAAATATTGCTCCAAATTACTAAGAGGAATTAAAATCAAAAGAATTCTGAGGTTTCACTTCACACACAGAAACTAGCAAAAAATGGTGAAAGATAGAAATAGTTGGAGAGGTTATGCAAGCACAATAATACACTCTCAGCAGAGCTGTGAATTGTTCCAAACATTTTAACAATTAATTTGGAATGATGCTTTAAAAAGTGACTAAAATACCAACTACCTTCAATCCTGTTCTTTAGGACTACACACTACAAAGATAAGGAAGGAAGGAAGGAAGGAAGGAAGGAAGGAAGGAAGGAAGGAAGGAAGGAAGGAATCAATGACAAAATCTGCAGAATTAAGGACATCCAAGTTTGAGTGGAAAGGTCACTGTTAAGGTTAATATATGGGCAAAAACTTTTCTTTTCAGGACTTTGGGACATTCCTTTTTTCTGTTTGCCCATTGCATCTATTGTCTATGTTTCAGAAGAATATGTTAGTCCTTGAGAAGAGAGTTATAACCTACAGTAAATGAAGTGTTGTATCAAGAAAGGAAATGGTGGACAAAAGAAAGCCCAGAAATATCAAAAAGTAGTTTAGGTTATTAGAAAGACAGAACCGAGCAAGTCGTTTTACTTGGCCAACAATTAAAACAAGAAAGACCCTTATATCAAGCAAGGTAAAAGGATACAATCATATCAGGGAATGAAACAATTCAACCCAGTTACTAATACTCCTCTCCTTGCCTCTGAAAGTCTT